CCCCCAAAACCCCAAAACCCCGAAAGGATATATTATTACAGTATTGGGCATTACATCATTAATATAAATATAATATGGGAAAGAAAATACATATATTACTCACATTCACAGCTGTAACACTTACTCTATGCTATGGATCATAATGCCCCAAGCCTAGTGTTGAATAAGTAATCTAAGCAAAAGCTTAACTAAGAGATCCACTAAAAGCAGATAAGACCTGCTCAATGACCTAGATCTGTAAGAGGAGTGATGGTGATCCAACAATGTAAGAGGGTCGATGTCCTAATGGTGCTGATCCCCTTCACATATTAAACCCTACTATTGGGGATGCTGAGCCTAGAGTACTTTATAGATAGGACTCAAAGACTAATTTTAAATTGATCTGCCCATTTATGGATCCTGAATAACCAATATGCTGCAATGATGATCAAGTAGAAATCATGAGTAATAGATTTTATTTGATAATTAATACTTTTAGCCAATAATTTCAGATCTATTGACTCAGTGTTTGGATAAGATTGCTCTATCTGTTCTGTGAATCTTAAGAGAATGTGGTGTGATTACACATGTCATCCAAAGCAAAATAGCTTCGGTAAAATTATATTTAATTCATTTTTTTTAGTCAAGGGAACAGGCTACTAGATGGATCCTGACGATGGAAATCTTACCCTAACTAATTTCACAGTTGACCCTGACTATGCTTGCACAATGTTCTAATCTTGTGCAAAAGTATCTATTGTCGCAGCTGCATCTCTTTAAAGCTCTGAGGCTTTTCTTGATTTCTTAGTAAGAAGGTTTTTTATAATAATTTCTAGGGATTTAATGGAAAACAACAAGGAAAATCTATCATTAAGTTCTTGTTCAGTAAAGATCATACTGCATCACTAGTTGATAACATCCACTCTTGTGATGAGGCAGTCCCAGGTGACAATGTGTTTGATCAATACGCTAATTGTAAAAACTGCACCTGTGCATACTGTGACTCAGCTTGTAAACCTCCTGAGGTCAATGCAGATATCGGGTTCTTTGATGGTTTCAATGGGGAGCTTGTTGGCATTTCCTACGGTGTCTTAATTGCATTTTCAATCATATTCTAACTTCTCAGATGCTACTGCGCTAAAAAACAAAAAGTAAATGAGAGCATGGAAGAGGATAGTGCAGATGCTGATGAACAAACTAAAGATAAAATAGGAGTTAATGCTGGATATGAATCTAGCACTCCTAAACAGAAGCTTATCTCAAACAAATTTGAATGAACATAATCCTAAAAAATTATTATCTCTATTTACGATTAATATAAATCAAAAACTATTTCTCTCTATAAAAATGTTGATATGCTCGTGGGGTTTTGGGGTTTTGGGGAGATCGGAAGAGCGTCGTGTAGGGGAAGAGT